AAGGGAAAAGAAATAAAGGAGACGTGAAATACACAGATAGTTTAATATGCGTGTTTATAAACACAAAACTAGAATAAATGACTATGTACGTATCGTCTAATTAGTAACAAAAATAAAACAAAATAATCAGGGAAAAATAACTTATTACTGCAGCAAATTATGGTGCTAGAATAAATGTTTGTGCAGTCATAGTTCGGAGTGATGCTATGAAAGTCACAATTAATTGCAAAGGATAATCAAATATCATTTTCTATGTGTTATAAATATGTGGTGAAGACAAAATGAATGTGAAAAGTTAATTTATTTAAGTGTAGCACTAGCTAATTTGTTTTTAGTTATATACTTTGGAGTTTTAGGAATAGAAGAGATGAAAAGAATATCTTATGTGTCGAGGGACCAATAATGATATTAATAACAGTAATAATTATCAATACGAACATAAGCAGACTTTATATATTAAGATAAATAAAAAGAATATAAAATAGACATTGAAAGCTTTAAAGGTTACACTTTGCTTTTCAGTCAGTTAGATAGATGACGAGCCTTGTTTGTATAAATCATTATCGAATATATTGATATTCAATAGGTGACATAATTCACTTTCGGAAAGAAAATCATCAAGGAGACTTCTGAACTGGGTTGTAGTTTCATTGAAACGGAGGTTCACTGGCAGTCTGTTCCACATGGTTGAGTAGCGAATAACGAAAAAATTCTGGCGTAAGTTTGTGTACGTTCTTGGAATTGCTAGAATACATTCCATATTGCGTAGACTAACAGCAGGTCTAGATGAGCTACAGGCGGGGTAAGCAGACCACAACTACCCTGAAAATGTCCCATGACGATGGACCTGACGGGATTCTTTCATCAATGTGGTTCCATCCTACGTCTGCAGCGTTTTCTGGTCCATACACCTACGAACGCAATCCTCAGATCCTGGGTACAATCCACTCTGGTGTCGTGCGCTAACTCGAGCAACAAAAACAGCACGTTTCTCCTGGTACTGCTCTACGTAAAGACCTTCGATGGCAACTCGAGGATCGACGATCGCTTCCTGTTCTGCTAACCCTTTCGTCCTACAATCGCACGTTTGCCGATCAGTGCCACAAACGAAAACGGTACGTATCGAAAATGTAAACCCTTTCTAGTGGGATCTCCTGCAGTGACCTACTTTTATCAAGAGAACGCGATTGGTGTAATGGAAACAATTATTATTATAACCAATTGTACCAGGGATTGTTTAACTGTACCAAAATCATACATTCTTCCGTTGTTCGTGACCTTGCATGAATTCGGTTACGCTCAGTAACCACACTTGTAACCTGGAACGATCTCGGTATTCTTTCGATACCATGAGATCTAAAACAAATACACCTCGACTACAGCCATCAACCGCCTTCTGATATTTGGCCTGCGTGGGATCTTATCGGTTAACCGGCACATAGTCTTAGCTGTAGGGGTGATCATAGCCAACTACGACTCGACGCCACACAAAAAATGTTATTCAAAACACTGTCAAATATGGTACAAAACCCTCAGGTATTCATGGTTTTTAGTAGAAGCGAAAAGCAAACTATCACCATCGAAACTTTTTTCATTTATTTTATTTTGTTTTCTTTCTACTGATTTTGATATGTGAAGTCTGTTTATGTTTAAATTTATGATGATTAATATCACGATTGATACCCTGACACATTAGATATTCTATTCGTCCCTTCTTTTCCTTCTAAACACATTTGACTCCTAAACATCCAAAGTCCATAACTAAAAACAAATTACCTAGTGTTACACTTAAATAAATTAACTTCTCACATTCATTTTATCTTCACCACATATTTATAACACATAGAAATTGATATTTGATTATCCTCTGCAATTAATTGAGACGTTCATAACACCACTTCAAATCAATACTGCACAAGCACTTATTCAGCTGTCAAATCATACTGCAATAATAAGTTGTTTTCTTATTTATTTTTAATCTTCTTTTGTTATTCATTTGGCGATACATACAAAGCCGTGTATTTTTGTTCTGTGTTCACAAACATGCTTAATAAACTACTTACTTATTATGCGTGATGATAGAAGTTTCCGAAATGACATTAGCAGACATTGAAAGTTGTTTATACACTTTAACCAAGTCGACTTTTGCAAAAACAGTCATACCTTTCATGGTGAGAGTACACACTCGTGATCTGATGTTGATTGTTGACCGAGTGTCTTCAACTAGGTGTGTTGAGTAAAATTTATGAAGTCAGGATCAATGCCGAAGACTCACAGAACTGTTTATTTAGATAATTCAACCACCATTTCAGAGATAAGGCATGTTCATTATCTTGTTTCAACAAATGTTAATGGAAACCAATTTGTTGGTATATTGATCAGACCATATGTGATTCTTGAAGGACCTAGTTTATATACGTCAATAACTAACAATTTACGTCCTATGCTTTTTTTCACATACTAAATTTTATCGATGTCTTTAATTCTGATTTGATTTTGATAGAGCAAATCAGTAATATTCAAAAACAAATCAATTTACAAGAGATTTGCTTGTATCAAAAACTTGGACTTAATACAGACTTGTAGTATATTTCTACAAATTCATCAAAATATGATTATTGACAACAACTAATATTATAAAAAATAGTAACTCTTCATTTAATTAACTACTGATATATTTTTCACCAACAACAACATTAATAAACAATAGGTTCACAATCTCCATAATTTGGAGAAATCCTGGGGAAGGTTTGAAAAATTTCGTGATTTTCTCCGAAAATATTTGAAAATTCGTAGTTTTTTTCCAAAGTCCAAGGGAATTTAGAGGAAAGATACAGATCAATGGGTACGTTGGTATTTTAACAAAGTGAAAATTCCTGAGAAAAAAACTCCAAAATCGGTGTCGCACAGTTGCGTGAAGAAGAATTTATTATTAACAGTACTGTTTAAACTTATTTGTACATAATCAAAATAAATTATATTGTTTTTGAATGATAATCAATTTCTTTACACATTCCAGTACCAACAATTTGACCTTGTTTTATGTCATATGAGCACAAGACAAGGAAGCGTTTGTTACACACCACTGATTTGTGATTATTCCTCATTTTGTGAAACACTATATTTGTATCTTGACATTTAGTTGCTACTTTGCGTTGTATTGAGATATATCATCCATCTTGTAATCTGATGTGAGCTACTTATATTGATATAAGTAGTATATAACGTGCGTCAAAAGAACGTAAGGTCTGGCAGCAGAAGATGGCGAAGATCAGAAAAGGTAGAGCGAGAACATAATGGAATTCGTAAGAAAACCTATGAACAATGGAATGGGAGACGATCGATTGGTGTTTGCAACAGAAACAGTCTGGTTCGATTTGATGCATGAATATTTTGCAAATTGACGATTTACTATATGGTATTCGGATTTTATTGAGATAGTTTGTAATTGTTATGCTTAATACATCCGTTTGTCCCCACCCGTGTTCTTGTTCACTACAGTAATATGCAATCGTCTCTGCTTTTGTTCATGAGGAATTCTCATTGTTGCGCTTTCAAATGTATTAGTCATTAGCCCATCCAGTATGTTAGAAGTATCTGCTCTCGTTTTCACGTCTGGCCAATTAATTATAAATTACAAAAGTAAGTGAATGGACACTAGCCTAGAAAGGAATAAATTAAGTTTTGCGAGGATCAAGAAATATTACAATTTCATAACATCACACAAAAACTAGCATTTCGATAATTCAATAAATTTTCTGAATTATAGTGATAAGAAGTACTGCGTCAACTATCTGTAGTGACTCACTTTTATCAAGAGAACACGACTGGTTTAATAAAAACAATTAATATTATAACCAAATGTACCAGTGTTTGTTTTAATGTGCTTCTGTTTGACTGTGCTTATTACAGCTATATTGCGCTTTCATTCTTATTCACACACTTTTATTGTAACTTCGCGCGAATTCGGTTACCTTCTGTAACCAAGCTTGTATCCTGGCACGATCTCGGTATCCTTCCGATGTCACGAGATCGCCAGCAAATAAACATCGACTTGGTCCATTAATTGCCTTCTGATATTCGGCTTCTTAGGGTTATTATGAAGTCATTTCGAACGAGCTTCTTGGTAGCGGTGTTCATAGACAATCTCGACTCGACACCGCGCTACAATTGGTGATTACAAAGTTTGGAACAAGCCACAACCTCTGGTCAAACCTTCCAAAGAATCCAATTTGGTGAGTCCATTGTTTATCTGTGGTGTTTGAACGAACTAATGATACTATTGTACTTGTTGATTGTACGATTTCGAATTCCAAATACAGTACATTCGGTTGTGCCTGTGTCTTCTTAATTCAATTGCGTTATTTCTGGGACTCTTAGTTATAGCTATAATTCCAATAATTCGAAACATTACACTGGCGTCGTGATGGAATCTGCAATGGAAAAATTGGACATTCATTCAACTTCGGAAACATTTGAGGATTATTTGGAAAGGTTTGAAATCTGGAGCATGACTAAGAAAGATGTCAAAGGTGATAAAATTGTGGCACATTTCCTGACATTCATTGGGAGAGAAGCTTACAGCTTATTAAAAACTTTGGCATATCCGGAAAAACCTATCTCACTTCCTTATGCAACTCTTAAAGAGCTATTATTAAATCATGTAAAATGCACCAGTTTCGAATGCCGTGAAAGGGCAAAATTTCATAAGATGGTTCGTCAAAATGATCAAAAAGTTCGGGAATTCATCCTCGAATTGCAGAAACAAGCTGCCAAGTGTAATTTCGGTGATCAACTTCATGTACAACTTAGAGATCGATTAATTACAGGAATCAACATACCGAGTTTGGAAAGAGAGCTGTTAAGAATGCCGAAATCTTCCTTTCAAGATGCTAGAATTGCATGTATTAACTATGAAGCAGTAAATGTACTTGATATCTAGTCAATGAAGATTTCTAATACTTTGCTTAGTTGTCATGATGAACTACAATCTCAAGGTCAATCGAACTTGCGTTCATTTAACGGTGAATCCTATTCTCGTGTAATTATGAAAGGTGTTTCAACAAGGAATTACAAAGCGAATCACAGAGGTGCGATGAAGTTTGGTAAATGTTTATCATGTGGAAAGTTTCATCCTCGTAATTCATGTGCATTTCGTAATGCTAAATGTTTTAAATGTGGTAAGATAGGACACATTCAGTCAGTATGCAAAGCTACTGTCCATTTTGCTTCAAGTAGTACTAAATCTTGTCATTTAAATTTCAATAATTCGGATGTTTCTAGCGATCATTTATCTTTGTCTACTATTTCGAAAGTTAATGCTCATATACATCGCTTGGTTCATTTCATGACTTTATTGTGGACACAGGCAGTATAGAGTCCATTATTGCATTCAAGAACTTGAAATTCTTAGATCCTAACGTTGTAGTACGACCCACTGAAGTATCAATATTGGGGGTTACTGGACACAGACTGCCCATACGAGGATGCTGTGAATTGCTAATAAGAGATGATAATTCTTCATACATACCTTGTGAATTTTTAGTTAGCAAAACAGGACTGTCAATATTAGGTTTAAAGAATTTGAAAAGGCTTAAAGTGGAGTTGTCCTCCCTAGATTCTAAGGAGAATTCTGATACTTTACTTAAAGATTTGATAGCTAGGTGTGCTAAGTGCAGTGGAGGTTTGAAAATTCAGCCTGTAAAACTTCAAGTACAGGGTGATCCAGTTTTTCTTAAAAGACGAATAATTCCTTATGGTCTTCGAGAAGCAGTACATAAGAAATTAAACGATTTGTGTGCGAAAGGCATAATTGAACCAATTCAGTCTTCAGCATGGGGTACTCCTATCGTTACGCCACTGAAGTCGGACGGCAAGACCCCTAGAATTTGTGGTGACTATAGATTAACTCTGAATTCCCGTTTGTTGAAGCAAACGTGCACGACGGTGGAGGCTGAAGATATTCTAAATTGACTTCATGGTTCTAAAGTGTTCTCGAAAGTTGACCTAAAAGATGCATATCTTCAAATTCCTTTAGATCAATCTTCATCTATTTTGACGACAATTAACACTCCGTTTGGTCTGTTCAAATGCAATTTTCTTCCATTTGGTCTAAGTTGTTCTCCAGCCATATTTCAGGAAGTTATGAATAAAGTAGTTAGTGATCTTGAAGGTGTTGAAGTTTATCAAGATGATCTCATTGTTCATGGTTCTAATAAGGTAGTTCATGACCAGAGACTTATTGCTTTATTGCGTCGTTTAATTGAGAAGAATATTACAGTGAATCCAAATAAGTGTTCGTTTTGTGTATCTAGTTTTGAATGCCTTGGATATCTAGTTGATGGTAATGGTTTTAGACCAGATATGAAACGACTAGCTCCGCTGACAAATGCCCCGTCTCCAAAAAATCTTACGGAATTACGTTCACTGGTGGGTGCTCTTCAATACTATTCCCGTTTTATTCCTAATTTTTCTTGTCGTGCAAATTGTTTATTTGATATTTTGACATCCAATTCATTCAAATGGAGTGATGAACTAGAGTCATGCTTACGTAATCTACTAAAGGTTCTTCAAAGTGATGCTGTTCTTCGAACGTACTCCCCTAGTGTACATTCTGTGCTTATTACTGATGCATCAACTGTGGGAATTGGTGGAGTTTTGGAACAGAAAGGTAGACCAGTTATTTGTGTTTCACGCAAATTCACTGTTACTGAACAAGGTTATTCACAGACTCAGCGAGAAGCATTAGCTGTGTTTTGGGCTGTTAAAAGACTTCATAAATATTTATTCGGAAAGAAATTCACTATTGTTACTGATCATGAAGCTTTAAAGTTTATTTATCATCCTGAAAAATCCTTAGCACGTTCCTCAGCTGCTATGGTTCAACGATGGAGTATTGCTTTGAGTGCATATAACTATACGGTTCAGCACAGAAGTGCCAAACAAATTCAACATGTTGACCACATTTCTCGACAGTCATTACAAGATAAACCTATTAATACTTCGGATTGTTTGTTAGTGCAACCTTTACCAGTGAGACGTCCAGATTTCATTAGAAAAACTCGTAGATACTTTGGATGTATACTCAGTGCTATACGGAAAGGTTGGAATTCTAATATGAAACGTAGATTTCGTGTCTATTTTTCAAAGAAGGATGAGCTATCTACTACTCCTGATGGTATTCTGTGTTTAAATGATCGTGTTGTCATTCCTCCTTCATTGCGTAAATCTGTTCTTGAAGATCTTCATAGTGGTCATTTAGGTGTTGAGAAAATGAAGTCCTTGGCAAGGCTCACATGTTGGTGGCCAGAGATAAATGCAGATATATGTCGTACAGCGAACAATTGTGAGAAATGTCATCAAATGAAAAGTCATCCTTCGAAGTGGACGCCATGGCCAGTATCGTCTGAGGCCTGGCAGAGAATTCATGCTGACTATTTTGGTCCGTTTCTTGGTAAATACTATGCACTAGTAGTTATTGATTCTTTTTCAAAATGGCCTGAAGTTTTTTTACAACTTCACCTAATTCTGACTTCACAATCCAAGCATTAAGAAAGGTGTTTAGTCGAGAAGGGGTTCCTATGGTGTTAGTGACTGATAATGGTTCTCACTTTGCTGCAGATGCGGTCACTAACTGGTTGAACGGTATAGGGTGCAAACATCTGTTTACTGCTCCCAGACATCCGTGTTCTAATGGTCAGGCAGAGAATTTTGTCAGGACATTAAAGACTGCTATTGATTCTATAGCCGCCTCAACATTTAATGAGCTGGAGAGGGGAGTAGATACCTTTCTATTGCAATATAGAAATGCCAGACATTCGGTGACGAAGGAGACTCCAGCGAAGCTATTGAAAGGAAGAATTCTTCGGTCGAATATGAGATGTTTGGAGTCTGCAGAAGTTACATACTATCGGGGAAATGATCTTCGACCATCTACGGGTATTGTTCTGAAGAATGTCGGAAAATCGATGGTGCGAATTCTAGACATCAATGATTTAAGTACACACAGTCGACATGTTGATCAAATACAATTTCAGGAACCAGGTGAGTCTGTTCCAATTTCCGTTGTTAATTCTAATACTAATGAGCGAATTCTAGATAATACAGAATCCTTTTCGAATATAATGGCAGACAGACCCAGGATGAATTTGAAAAGAAGACGTACGATTGATTACAAACACCTAGACTCCAACTTAAGCTGTGGCGGATGTGGTGTTTGAACGAACTAATGATACTATTGTACTTGTTGATTGTACGATTTCGAATTCCAAATACAGTACATTCGGTTGTGCCTGTGTCTTCTTAATTCAATTGCGTTATTTCTGGGACTCTTAGTTAGTGCTATAATTCCAATAATTCGAAACATTATATTATCTATCCACGTCTGTCATATATTTTCATATTATCTTTTAATATATAGTATACTCGACATGATGGATAACGATAAGAATAGTATTAATATAATAGACTCCCACTTAATTGTACCGAATCCTTGTCACTTTCTATTCGCGTGACGGTAAATCCCACGCTTTATTCGAGAAATTTTACCCTATTAACGATTCTCCTCGCTGACCCTGCTGCTTGGTACGGAATGCATACGCCTACGCATATCCGTCTACCACCCAGCACAAAATGGTTAAGTTGAACGGTTTCACTGACAACTTAAAAGTACTCTACGAGCACACAAAAACGGCAACTGGCACGAAACCTTACCGCTCGTTCTTTTAGGGGTCAGAACGAGCTTAAAAGCAGATATCCAATGTTCCGCCGCTGAACTTGTATACGGCACGACATTGCGTCTGCCCGGAGAATTCTTTACACCACGGAGCAGACCTTATTTCGGTAAATCAGACTACGTCCATCGACTGTCTGCATTTATGCGAACGCTGTCTCCGGTATCAACTCGAATACAACATCGACAGGTCGCTCTTCCTTTGAGAGTTATCTACCTGTAGACATGTTTTCATACGAGTAGATTCGGTACGCAAACCTTGGCAACAACCTTACGAAGGCTCTTTTCACGTGATCGCTCGTCACGAAAAGACCTTCAAGGTTGATCGATATGGACGCGTCGAGATCGTCAGCATTGATCGTCTCAAATCAGCACACGTCGATGACAGTGCCCTATCTGATAACTTGAGATTAAATGCTAGACCTATCAAACCTAGCGGGATCCTTAAATCTTTTTCAGATCCCACGCTAGATACATCCAAGCCCTCATTCTCACGTCCCGGCCAACAGCACGCGTCATCTGCACTATCTACAGACGAGACGACAGTCTCACATCCAGATCAGCAGACCACGCCGCCTCTGATCTCGGATGAGATTGCAGGCTCATGAAATACGAGCGAGACTACCGTCTCACGTTCAGGTCGCCGAGCACGGTTGCCCGTACGCTTCCGCGACTAATCGCACAGTGAACAACCGATACTGTGTAGGATTATTCCTATACTACACGCATGCTACACTCTTCTCTTTTTTGATTTTCTTTTTGTTTCCTGAGCCCACGCCTTCGACCATCTCCGTTTGGTTCCGTCGACTTCAGTCGACTTTGGCTAAAGCTGGCCTGATCACCCACGCTCTTGTCAACGCACTCAGTCGATATTTTCGTTTCGAATGTTTGGCATACGCTTGGTCTCGAACTTAGACGTTACGGTCGCTTCTGGTCTGTTGGCTCAACGTGGTTTCGTCCTACGTCTGCAACGTTTCTGGTCCGCATTCCCTACGAACGCAATCTTCAGATTCTGGATACAAACCACTCGTGTAGCATGCCAACTCAAGCAAAAAGTACAGCACATCGCTCCTGGTACCGTTCTCTGAAAATGACCTTCGTTGGCGACTCGATGATCAACGATCGCTTTCCTGTTCGCCAACCCGTTCGTCCTATGATCGCTCGTCAGCCGATCAGTCCCACGATTTAAACCGCTATTTATCGAAAGTGCAAACCCTTTCTATCGGGGGGCTCCTGTAGTGACTCACTTTTATCAAGAGAACACGACTGGTCTAATAAAAACAATTATTATTATAACCAAATGTACCAGTGTTTGTTTTAATGTGCTTTTGTTTGACTGTGCTAACGACAGCTATATTGTGCTTTCATTCTTATTCACACACTTTGATTGTAACTTCGCGCGAATTCGGTTAACTTCTGTAACCAAGCTTGTATCCTGGCACGATCTCGGTATCCTTTCGATGCCACGAGATCGCCAGCAAATAAACATCGACTTGGTCCATTAATTGCCTTCTGATATTTGGCTTCTTAGGGTTTTTATGAAGTCATTTCGAACGAGCTTCTTGGTAGCGGTGTTCATAGTCAATCTCGACTCGACACCATGCTACATATCCATGGATACAGTTTGGTACTCAGTGTTCCACTGATTGTAACCATACTTTATTGTGCATAAGTGCCATCTGTGTAAATCCGGCTAAACCTTGAAGTTCATTGACAATTTACAAAGTTGTTCAAGTCAGTCCATACTTCAATCTTATTGTATGTATGAGTGTAAAACAATTATGCTCATAAATTAGGCCTCTTGGTAGCTATCTAGTTGAAATGCAATGCAATATTCATAATACTTGCAACCAGAAATAGAGTAGTTGGCTTCTTTCTCGATTGTCAATCAGTATAATCCAACATGTTACTCACCACTCCATTAATAAAATAATCTTTAACAAATACATGACTACAGATAATTTTGACGTTATCCAAGTTCCGAAGTAATTCAAGAAATTGGTGTTTAGTGATTGTTTAACGAACTGTTCGACTTTCATTATGACAGATTCTTATATAAATATGAATATCAAAAACAGCTAAACAGAATATGAACTGCATATGAATGACAAACTCATTCACAAAATACATATTTGTATATCCATAAATCATTTAATGAATCTTTATCTAATCTAACCTGATAAATATTACAAATAACAAATATGCTTACATGAAATACATGAAATTAATAATTTGAACAAAATATCACAAAATATTCACTAATGTATGAAAGTGTACAAAATAACACTGAGAAATAGTAAATAATAAAAGTTGTTCAGATGAAGTCCTCTCAGTTGAGATCCATTGTTTCCTTCGTCACAATGTGACTGATTCGTGTATGGTCCGATACAAAGCGAGTACATGGTTGCATGTGCAATAAATGTGTTATCCAATGAAGAATGAAATAGTTCACTGTAAGGCCCATTAGCATAAATCGGTACATCCTCAGCACTGTGTGTAGAAAAGTTAAGTCTCACTAATGATTCTGCGGTATAGGTGCTTGCAAATCTGTCTTCTGTTGCCGGATCCGATCGAGGTGCATCCAATATACCTCTTGGTCCATTGAAATAGGAAGATATGAGATAGGATTTATTATCATTTCCCTGTAACACAAAACAAAACAATGTTAGATAATTTCAACCCACTGAGTGTATCAATGTTTTGCATATGGTCTACTTTAATTGTATATCACACACCATTTGAATCCGTAATAATATTATTGATGACAGAGACGTGTAAGTTGGGATATTTTGAAAAGTAACTAGGTTGTTCTAAATGACTATAATTTTCCTCAAAATATTTCAACATTTTGATTTCCCAATATAAAGAAGAGTAGATATTCAGTGATTATATTAAATATTTCGAAGAAACGTTACTGTGTAATACAGGGGAAATACCATTAATTTCTTCGAGACATCAGAAAATCTACTTTATACTTTTCGAATATAAACCCATTTACAAAGACAAGTGAAAGTCAAGGTGATTGTGACCTCTAATCACCAGCTGACCAGAACTCATATTTCGCACGTAAACATACAGTATAAATTATAGTCAACACCATAATTGGTGAATTACCATCATATTAATGACATTTAGTTGATAAACAGTTATTTGTGAAAACACATATTTACGTCAATTTTCCGTTGGATACATTCAATGAGGTCATTTTCAGTTACAAATTAATGATTTCGAAATCGAGCACTCCAAGACAAATTTATCATGCCATTATGCATAGCATATCCATTTATTGTCTCCAATTTTAACTCTCATCAAAATTTAATCAAATTTCATCAAATACACGATGCCGATACGAACAAGGGTGAATTCGAACAATATTATTATTATTATTATTATTATTATTATTATTAATCATGTAAAGAAGAAGAATTCCAAATACACATGAGCGATTAGAAATTATGATACTCAGATATATAAGTATGCAAGTACGTCATCGCGCACTTTGAGTAAATAACATTTAATCTACTAAGATGTCAATATAAGTTGGTTATAACTGGTGATTAGTCACACATACTCACACATGCCTGTAAATAATAAAGTCAAGATATAGGCAAATAGTTACCGACACAAGCGACCCTGCTTAATAAATAAGTTATTCAGAGGACATAATAAACATAAACGCATACAAGCTCAAGTGAAGGTGAAATCGCTAGGATATAACAAACTCATGTTATTATGTTTCAAATGTTAAATGGCGAGAATCCATTGTCGAATCCATTGATAATATATGCTAGCGATAACGAAGTAGTCAATCTTTTATTTGCCTTGCGAATATCTGACTAATCCTTTTTCGGTTAACAACATTTCGATACTCGTTAAATCCATTTTGAAACTGGATTTCATGATGAATATACATCAACTGAATGACCATCACAAACATCTCAAGCAAACGGAAACTCTGTTTACAGTCAGTAATTGTAAACATTCTTTGCCCTGAAAATTGTTCCGGTGTTATACGTGAGTTTAGATCTTCGATCTTACTGTTGAAAAACCTTTCAAATGGATTCCAAACAACCAACCATCATACAACTTCGATATTATTTTCAAGTATCTTAACTAAATTGAGACTGTTTGTTGAATGTTGACATTATGTACTAGCTAAATAAAATTTATCATCATTGTCGCCAATCTAACTATCTCGATCCATCCCTCTTACTCCTATTAAAATGATATCTGAAGCTAATTATTGATCTTCGCGTTTCACCAATTCATTTTAATCATAAATCTCTTTGTAATGTAAACATACATTTGTCACAATCGGTTCACACTTCGATCTGTGAAATTTTCATAAATTAAAATAGTTTTCTAATGAGCCATAATCGAACATGTGATTTTACTATTGAATCTAATTTCTGAGTAGACAATTTGCAGTACTGATTTGCTTAGTATACCAGTACTGATGACAGAAAAATAAAAAATGTGTTGGTCACATTGATTGTCAATTATATGTTAAATCATATTTTATTAAGTAGCACACATGTGTTTTTTAGTTGTATATATAT